ACACACTTATTTGAAAATTCTTGAAACGGCAGCTTTCTGCATAGTGACACCATGTGCTTGAAGTTTCTACTATAACCCTACGGTAATAAAGAAATGTAAATCTAAGTTGAAGCTAGCTCTACAAAATGGTACATAAAGCTTCTCGAAAACTTTCTATATAAGGGAGTTAATGAAGATCAAACGCTCTAGACATTTTTTGGGACCCTGAATAATTGTAGAATAGTGTTAAACATTGTGATTGGATCAGACATCAAAATCATCTATCAATTTCGTTGATTTGATCGATCTATTCAAACTTTGACCTGGGCGTTGATGCAAGACCGAAAATAAGTGAGGGTGCTGGTTCTAAAGAATTGGAAGCAGGCAGCTGGCCTATGTAAACAGGAACAGGAACAGGGAGATACTACTAGAAGTTGAGAAAAGGTGAGTATAACGGTACGCTGATAGCCTTTTATTCAACGGGAATGGCAGCTAAATGGCGACCGTTCACACAGCGTCGCAGTCTGCGTCTCTCTCGCGAGCCTGCTCTCCAATCCTTTTCAGCCATGAATTGGTCTCGAAGCCCCGCCTTCCAACCGCCAATCCCGTCGAATCAATGGGTACAATAAGTTCCAGTTCTATTCAGGCGGAAATTGGATTGGCGGGAGTCCGCCTCGCAACAGCTCGCAGTTACAGTATGTCACATCGTGCCAAGGACCTGTCTCTGCGTCTCTTAATTTCCCTCAGTCTTTACTTACGCTTACGGACGCTTCAGATACTTCGCCTACTCCGAAATGAAACGTACTGTACATTGGCAGAGACGAGCGGAGCCGGTTATGCTACAGAGTCGTAAGAGTTATTTTGCTAGTGCTCGCTCTCGACAAGGAAAATATAACGGGCCCAAATCCACTGGCGTGGCTGCGGCCGAACTTGGCCATTGAGAGTGTGTACGGCAAGGGGCATATATTGCGGGTAATGAGTTGACGCTCTCCTCTAATCAAGCGATACATCAATAATATTGTAGTAAACCGATTTACTCCAAAGGAGAAGCATATTTGGCTAAAATTTCGTATAGCGGCAATTGTCCTCCTGCTTACGAATGTCGCGGTCGCATACACAATAGTGCCCTACGGGTTTACAACGTGTATACCGTATGGAGTCAGAATCTTGAACCTCGCTGGATTATTGTCATACAACAGGGCCTAGAATCACAGATTTGACTGAAATCTGGTATGTAGTGGTTATTTAGCACGATGTTCAGCACTATCACGCTCTACGCAAGCGTCAATTTTTTGAACCACGGTGTTTGTATGGTAAATGGGTTTGCATTCCAAACTTGCTCAGACCTTTCTCGGGGAAGGGGGGGGGGTATTCACTATGTCGATTACGATTTATGATACTGGTTGTACGTTAAAGTATTTCCTTAGCGCTATCAAAGTGGGTTGCATACTGTACACTGAGCGCAACCAAACAAAAGATGTACTATATCTATGTGTCACGTATACCGTTGTGAATGGACTCCCAAACTGACGCAAAGCAGAGCCTTGATGATCAACTAAAATCGATGGAACAGGTATGCCTCGGCACAAGACAACCACGCAGCAATAGGAGCTAGCTCGTCTCCTCTTGTCGAGTGCAGCGTTTTCTGGTTTTTGCTACCATTTCACTGGAACCCTTACGGTCATCCGCATGATTTGTTTTCATTTAATTTCCTAACAGCATATTACAGGGCAGCATGAGCAGCAAACAAGATTATGATGGCGATACTGATATCGAATTTCCCCGTGATGATGAGTACAACTGTCTGCAATCGCTGGACACCACTCGTATGTGATTTTTTTTGCTGGTTGCTTCAAATTTATACCTGTTTTTCAAGTTTGTCAATACCGTAGCTAATCAGTTTACGAATATTGCAAGTACATCAAACAAATAACAGCAACAGAAAGAATAATTCGGGGTCAAAACCGCCCACTTTTTCTTTAAGGAACTTTAACCTTCTAACCTTGACATTCCCCAGGAAGAATAATTCGGGACCAAAATCGCCCAAAATCGCCCAACATCTTCTTCAAGGAACTTTTATCTTCTAACCTTGAAATTCTCCAGGTTTTTTTCGTAAAGATGATCTGCAAAATAAAATGAACTACTCACCTATTTTACTCTCTCTCTCTC